TATATATATAACATGTATTTAATAGTATGAATTAATTAATATCAAACTTAAAAATAGTAATTCAGCGGATTAAATTATTAAGCAATTAGCCACCAAACTTGTCAACCGATTAAATTTAGGATCAATCAAATATTCAGTAAAATGTTCAATCAATTAACTAATATGCCAACCAAACACTTGGGCAATCAACCAATCAATCAACCAAACCGTTCAATTATTTCGTTAATATACTTATGTGTTATCAACCCAAGCAATCAAGCGATCAATCAATCAACCAACCAATCAATTAACTCGTCTTAAACAATTGATTACAATGATGGTAATGAAGACGACGACGATGATATTGTGATTGCGTGATCGCTATAATAATAATACTACTGCTTCATTATGACAAGCAAATTAATAAGAATAATAAGAATAAAAATAATATTTGTAATAATATTAATAACAATATTAAATCTTATGACGTGGATAATATTGATGCTACTATAATAATAATAATAATAATAATAATAATAATAATAATAATATTATTATTATTATTATTATAATTGTTATAATTATTTTATTATGACGTAAATTTCCTAACATAAATGGTTGAAAGCTTGGCGACATTTTGCAGTATAATGACCTAGCTACTGCTACTGATCTAATAATGCTATTAATACTGCTATTGCTGCTACTACTACAGCTACTGTAGTACTGCTACTACTCTTACTACTACTACTACGACTACTACTACTACTACTACTACTACGACTACTACAACTAATAATAATAATAATAGCAAATTTTAACGAGTATTCAACAAAAATCAAATGAATCAACTAATTCCATAATAATATCAAATATATACACCAAATATATATAATATCAAATAAATATACCAAATATATAGTGCCAAATAAGAGAAAATCATCATTGTTACTATTATTTCTTTTGTTATTAATGCTATTATTTAGTTATTTTTTATTATAATTGTAAACAAAAATTATTATAGTTATTATTATTATTATTGAATATTCTTATTCAGTTATTTTTAGTTATAATTGGTGTTATTATTATTATTATCTAAAGCGTTTGATAGACGCATGAAAGGAAGTCGTTGTTGCCTATGTATATTGCTGTTTTTCAATTGATAAAAATTTCAAATTTATATTTTTATCTATTTTTATAAGTTAAAGTTAACGCAAAGAAGAAAACGCAGAAAAATTTAGGAAGAAAGACAGAAAGAAAGAGAGAGAGAGTGAGAGAGAAAAAGAGAGAAAGAGAGAGAGAGAGAGAGAGAGAGTGAGGAAGGTACAGAGAAAGACAGATGATATGGAAAAAGGATTGGTTGTGTTAAAAGATTTAGAATGTGATAGTGAAAAAGAGAGAGAAAGAGAGTGAAAAGAAAGAAAAGAAAGAAAAAGAGAAAAAGAGAGAGAGAACTAAAAAAAGAAAGAGAGAGAGTCAGACGAGAAAGAAATTGTTTTTAAATAATAATACTATTATTATTATTATATTTCGCGTCGTTAATATCTGCGCTCTTCACACGTCACATTGAATTGGGTGGTGAGATGAAGACGACGACAACGACGATGATGATAGTTAATGATGATGATGAGGAGGAGGAGGATGATTGCAATGACGATGATGATAACTGAATGATGATGTTGACTAGGAATGTAGTTATGATAGTAATTAGGCAATACGATGATGACAAATGATGATCAGTAAATTAAATGATGATGATGACGACATATGGTGATGATGAGTAAGTTCAAATATTATGATGAATGTCTGTGACATGATGATAAGTGAATATGTTATCATTTTTTAAAATGATAATAAATTTACTTACATTTACCCTTTTTCATATATATTTTTCTATTATTGTCACCACTATTGTTTATTATTTTGAAAACATAAAAACCTTTTATTTGAGGTTTTATTTCGTTTTGATTATTGGATATAAGTAACATCAACTTCTCAACTTAGAGAAAGAGAAAGAGAGAGAGAGAGAGAGAGAGAGAGAGAGAGAGAGAGAGAAAGAAAGAAAGAGAGAAAGATTGAAAGATAGAGATATGGATTTTAATAAGATAGAGATAGAGATTTTGTTTCTTGATTGTCGTTCAGCTCAAGTTTTTTCTTTGTTTTGTTCGATAAAATGCTAAATTAAATTGCTAAATAAATAATTATCATACAAAAATCAATAAGAAATGATCAAAAAATTTTTGTGTTAAAAATAAATTTATCTTTCCTATATGAGAAAATAACTGAAAATTTTGGTAGCGTCGTCGTCATCATCATTATGACGTCATCATTACGTCATATCGCATCATCAACACAATAATAATCGCCATCACCTGCTATGTATCCTTAAGATTCCCATACCCTTCAGCAGGCAGGGGAACGAACGAACCCGCCATGTTCTTTTCTTATTTGTAATCTTTTGTTTCAAGCATTCTATTTCCGATTGATTACACGTCATTTGTCTACTAGAATTGCGATGGAATTTATTTTCATTCAATCTTCTTCGCTTTCCGTGTTTTTGTTGCTCATTTTGGAGGAGTAGCGGGAAAATAATAATAATAATAATAACAAAAATAAATGAATGAATGAACGTCTCCATCTTCATCATCATCACCATTATCTAATTTAAGTCTAAGTTCATCAAATTTTTTTTTATCTTGTCATGTAGTTTTTTTATTTTAAAAAAGTTAGAAGCCCTTGAAAAATCTTGAGAATTTCGATGAGGAGAACACGAAGCAAAATCAGATCTGAAATTTCACTTGTCAAATGTGGTTTTGTCAAGGATTGAGGCACAAGAAACGCTATCTTTATGCTACGAATGATCAGTGAACGACAACATCAACATCGTCGTCGTCATTGTCATAGTCATCATCATCATAATCATAGTCATCATTATCAGCAACAGCAACGACATCGTCGTCATAATTGTCATCATTATCATCATCGTCATCATCATCAGCAGCAGCAGCAACATCGTCATCATAATTATCACCATCTCGTCATCTTAACTCCATAGCGAAAGTTTCATCCCATTGTTGATGTGTCTCGCAGTGCCTCAGAGCAAATAACAACAAGCATGCAAGCAACAACATCAACAACAAAAATAACAACAACAACATCAATAACAATAACAACCACGAAATAACAATAATAATAACAAACTCATCAAGAGTTGTCCGTCTACATGTTAAATAACACTAAATCAAACCATCTCTCTCTTGTCATTATTGTTTACCGTTATTATTATGGTTATTATAACTGTTTTTATTATTATTTTTATTATTAATATTTTTATTACGTCATTGATGTTTGTGTGTACGTGTGTGTGCGCGTGCACAACGCTTGTGCGCCCGTGTGTACGTATGTGTATGCGTGTGCGTGTTTCATGAATTTTCTTAGGTTAATAAAGTGTACGTGAGTATGTGTTTCTCTGCTAGGTATCTCTCTTTGTTAATCGTTCTTTCTCTCTCTCTCTCTCTCTCTCTCTCTCTCTCTCTCTCTCTCTCTCTCTCTCTCTGTGTGTGTATGTGGGGCGTGCGTGTGTGTATGTTTTTACGTTTTTACGTGTGCGTGTGTGTGTGTATTTGTGTGTTTATGTTGTTTGTATTGTGACACGTATCAAGCTATTGAATCTGGAGAAGATTATTATTCTCTATTCATTGTTCAACGTATTTAACGTCATCATCAACTGATGCTGTAGCAGACAGTAGCACGCGAATTGCCGTTTTAAACGCGTTCGTTTTTGCTCTATCTTCACTCTTTACTTCACTTACTACAACTAATTACTAAAAGTATTAGTCTCAACCTAATTACTGTTGTCACATCATACACTGTAACTATATAGACAAATACAATGATGTTCTAAAGCACTGCTAAGAAGTGTCGAGGATCGGGTTTTGTGGAGGTCGATTGTGACCAATTAGAAAGAGACACTTTTAAAATGCGATTTATTTAGAACGTTAACCCTTTGTTTTACTACCCTTATTTATTACCACTGCTATGAAATCTACCGTTACGTGCAATGCAGTTTACAATCAATGAATAAAAATAATTTTCAGTATTTTTAATTTTTTAGAATTTCAATATCCTACTAACTTTAAACCATTCCTCTACAATATCATTGAAGCTAAGAGTGCTGTTACCACTCATTTACAACGCCATTTTACTACAAATCTGGAGCTGCTACTACTTTCGCTACGGCCAATTTTTACTACGGCCACTGATTACTACAGCCACTGATTACTACAGCCACTTATTACCACAAACTCGTTTTTACTGAAACTCCTTTTACTATCGTTTGTAGGGGGTATGACAAAATATACAATCGATATTTTTACCTGATTTATTTCATTATTACTTATAGTATTATGTTGTTTCAAATACTACTAACTGGCCACCGATACTCAAAGGGAAGAATTTTTACATAAGTGGGAGGACAAAAATATAATGGCAGATGTAGCTGTAATTAATAAATATATAACAAAAAAATAAAGAAAAGTATAAGAAAAAATTTGAAGAAAAATGAAAAAAAAAAATTTAGATAATTAAAAAAAAAAAGTTAAAAATAATGTTTCTGCCCAGGCTCGAACTGAGGACCTTTCGCGTGTTAGGCGAACGTGATAACCACTACACCACAGAAACCTTGAGAACTTTTAAAATAAAAGTTTTATAAAAAACTATTTAGCCAAATCACTTAAAGATTTAATTAAAATTTGATTTAGGCTTTTTTAGATGTATAATTGATCATTTGTAAAACAATTATTGTTCCATTTAGTTAATTCATTTATTTCACACTTGTTATCTTGTTAAATAGTTCAGGCTGTTAAATTGTCTTTGGTAGTTAATTTTACTAAAAGTTGCTCAGTTATCTTTGTTTACATTTAAAAAATATAATATCGCTCGTTCACACTTGCCCTCGAAATTTAATTTTATTTGAATATTTAGTCATATCTGGTTCTTTAAAAATTTCTGTTTAGTGTTTAGTAATGGCCGGTGTGTTGTTTGAAGATATCTTTGACGTTAAAGACGTTAACCCGGAAGGGAAGAAATTCGAGAGAGGTGAGTAAAGTTTGTTTGGCACTAATTCTCTTCTCTATTAATTTATTTTTTATTAAAATTAATATTAATTTTCAAAATATGCTAACTCCAATTAATAAGATAAAAAATGTCAATCTCAATAAGCTGTAGGCAGGCAAGACACAGCTACAATATGCAATTATTTCTTTTTTTATTAAAAGAAAATTACTTTTGGGGTTTTATTAAAATTACTATTACATGTTCATTTTTTTTAATTTAATTTACTTAATTTTTAATTAATTTTCAAAATTTGTTTACAGTGTCCAGATTAAAATGTGAAAGTGAATCTTTCAAGATGGATCTCATTCTGGATGTCAACACACAAATCTATCCCATCGAACTAGGTAGATATTTAACATTATATTATAATTAATTAATTAAATTAAATTTATATTAAAGTTGGCTAACCTAGAAGATAGATTTCCTTATTTTACATGCCTTAGCTTAGTTTTATCTATATTTATTTTATTTTTTCTAATAATTATTGCTAAACATTTTAAGAAACAATTCATTAATTTATTCATGAAAAAAATAACTCTAATTAGTTTTTCGCTATTTATTAATTTAGGAGACAAGTTCAGAATGGTGATAGCGACAAGTATGAGAGAAGATGGTGTGCCTGATGATGGAGAATATGACCCAAAGGAAGGCTCTGGCACTAGAGCAGACAGCTTCGAGTACGTCATGTATGGGAAGGTCTATAGGATTGATGGGGACGACATGTCTGGCGAACAAGGAAGTCGACTGTTAGATTGTTTTTTCTTATAGATTTTACTTTTTTTATATTTTGTTGGGGTTGTTATTTTTGTTCGCGTTTTTATTTATTACTTTCTGGTGTTTTTGCCTTTAGTTTTTTTTTATAATTTTTTTTCTAATTGAAATCAAAAAAGAAATCTAAATTAGAAAAAATAATCTTCAACTGCCTGACCTCATACAATTTAAAATAGCCCAAAATTATTAAATTTTTCATTCTATACAGGGCAGCCTATGTTTCATTTGGTGGTTTGCTGATGAGGTTACAAGGTGATGCTAGCAATCTCCATGACTTTGAGATGGATTCAAATGTCTATTTATTTATGAAAAAATTAGCTTTTTGATTTTTTTTTAGTTATTGTTAGTCATTAATTTTATTTATTTATTATTATAATAAAGTTATTACTCTTATTATTATTCAATTATTATTTTTCTCATTGCTTTTAAAACTGTGTACATACCTTTAATATAGCTGGACATTGTTCTTAATGTTAATATAGAAATATTTCTGAGGCGAACTTGTTTTAAAGATTTTAATGATTAAAAGTGTCAAATACATAATTTGAATGTTGGAATAATATTTGTAAGAATTGCATAGATTCTTTGAAAACAGCGCTATATGTCATGTATGAAAAAACTTTACAAATAACAAAACCAATAGAGCCACATGTTATAAAATATTCAGTTAATTTTCAAACATTTAAATGAAAATTTGAAAAAATAAAAAAACAAGTTGTCGTGCAAACGTGATTTAGATAAATGTAAAACGTTTATGGTTTCTTTTGAGTTTAAAAAAGCATGATTGATATAAACTAAATTTGATCACAACAAGATTTCATGAGTGATCGTCATCAGTGTTTCCATATCAGTGTTTCAGAACGTTTTGTGATTGGATTGGTGACTTTTTACAGTCACTATAGGCACTCGTTCTTCAATATCCTTGCAATTTTGAGATGCTGGGAGCGCGCGTGGCTCTTCTGGGCATGCACTTCTCCTTGTCAATGAAGATGCTGTTCTTCTTGATCATCAGATCCTTCTCCAGTGCAATGCGTTGATCTTGCAGGAGTTTCAAGTAGTTCTCCGTCTCCTCCAGTTTTCTGTACAGTTCGTCGTTAGATGTGCTCAACTCTTTCACCTCTTCGATTAGTCTGAAAATTTAGGAGTTGAAAATCTTTTGGTTAAAATGGTAAAAATTGACTTTTGGTTACCTTGGTAAAAATTGACTTTTAGTGAAAATAGTTTTTATGATCGAAACGCAGTTATGCTAAGAAAAAAAAAACGAACACAAGTAGCCAGGAAGCGTAGATACATACGCTCACAAATGCGTGCTTATCGTGTTTTTACTCGTTAAAAGTCATCTAGTCGAAAATAATGTATATTTTCTATAAACAACCCAACAACGACAACTCAACTTCCATGTTTGGAATCGCTGTTATACATTCTGTTGTGTGTTGTGGAATAAATTTTCGTTAATATAATCACCCTACGAACCCGAATTGAGCTGGGTCTCTGCAAAGTTCAACCCTTGGTCTAAACTCCCTATTGTGCAGTCTGGTCTGTGCCACCTTCATGGGTTCCTCTATGTCCTTCAGCATGCCCTTCAAACCTGATATCGTCTTCTCGGCGTCATCTATCGAGTCACACACCTTCAGAGGTGTGTTTATTTCAATTCTTTCATTTTGTGTATCTCGCATTTTATGTATTCATTAATATAGATTATTATGCAAGCAACACTGCACAAACGATACTAAGATTAAAATGTAACTGGAACAATTTGAAATTCCGAAAATGTTTTTAAATAGTTTCAAGACAGTCTCAACGGACCACCTTGTTGATTTCATCTTCAAGCTGGTTCTTGCACCCCTCCAATTGGGCAACTCTCCTCCTGAAGCTATCATCAGTGACGCCACACTGACGTTTCACATCGGACGATACGTCATGAATGATGCTGTCAATCAATTTCCTGATGGGGTTGCATTTTGGTAAATAAAGAATATTGATATCAACTGAATGAAATTCAGTCTTTCGCCTATTATCAACATTGAGCAAACTAACGAGCAATATAATTTAATATAAACTTTGAAGAAAATTGAAAAAGTTGAATCTAGTTACTCTGTAATGAACAGAGGGTTGTTAGCTAAATAAAAACAAAACGACATACAAGAAGCAGAACAAACCGCAGTTGAATGGACGCCAGTCTTTCCTGTTCTGCTCTCTCAATGTTGTCGTGCGTGAACTGAGCCCAAGATTCTGGAGTTGACTGTCTGTCATCATTTTCGGAGTTAGGATGTATTAAACGACGCACACACCACACACACACACACACACACACACACCACACACACAACACACACACACACTGCAAATGACAGACGAGGATCTATCTTTATGTGCATTCGAACCAGGTCACTGCACCTTAAAAACTTTTGAGACTGTACAAAATAAGCAGACACACAACAACAGACGAGTTGCACATCTCAGTGCGTAACAAAAAAAAAGAAGAAATTAATAAACGCCATGAAATGTTTTTTTTCATATTCAGTTTTCACGAAATGGCAAATATTAATCTGAATAGAATGCATTCACTGGAAGTTTCATCAGGTCTCATACACTGGAGGATTCCTAGAACGCGCGTTACGTTAAATAAGTCTGCCAATGTTATCATTTTTTCCATTATTTCTTTGCGTTTCAGTGAATATTTTTTTTGCTATGCATTTTTCTTTTGAAAATCAATAGAAGCCGCGACACAATGAAATGAACGAACGCTGTTACATTAACAAAAGCAATAGAAAATGCGTAGTCACAAAAAAATCACTCCATGCATCAACAATAACAACACCACCACCCCCCCCCTCCACCACCACCACAACAACAACAGCAACAACAACATTTGTGGTAGTAGTAACAACAATAACAGTAACATTAACAGCAACAGCCACAAGACAACAGTAATAAAAATAACAACAGCAAACAGTGAAGTTAGTAGTCAATAAAACAAAAACATAAAAAGCCTAATGCTTTCAGTAATGCGTCATCATTACGTCATCATCGTCACCGTCATATAGTCAGTTAATATCGGCATTTTTATCATTATATTCATTACAATGATGATTATTGTCATCATGAAATAGTATAATTGCTATCGGTGTTATTATCTGAATTCACATCATCATTGTCATTAAAAAAAAGGTATATACAATTTAAAAACAAAAACGTATACAGTAACAAGAGAAAAACAAAACAAACAAACAAACAAAAACAATCAACAACAGCAACAATAACAGTAATAATAATAAAAACATTTATATGTTTCTCAGAATGTGAATTATTAATGCAAGTGCTTTTTATTACTCTTCATAATACCATTCCATTAATTTTCTATTGATGTCTGTGTGAAAAACGTATCACAACTTGGGTAACGACAAAAAAAAAAAACAGAAAAAAACACTTCGAAATTCGTAGTTCCGAAATTCAGATATAAAAATTATGATGGATGGATTGACGCAATTCAAATTCACGAAAACAAATAAACATATACTGATACACATCAGCAAACACACACACACACACATTCACAAACGCACGTACACACAAACGCACACACACAGACAAGTACACATACACACGTACACACATACACACTAACACACATGCGTACTCACATTTCTTGAAGTCTTGCGGTTCCGTGATAGTACTGTTTGCTGGTATGCTCGCTCCTCAGCCTGGCACAGAACTCATCCAACTCCTTTGATTCCTTTTTGTCACTCCAATCGAATTCCAAATTCTGCTTCTGGTCTCTGTTACGTCTGATTGATTGATAATGGTGGAAATGTTTGTGACGATTTTTTTTTCGTTCGTGGCTATCAAGTTGGCCACAACATTGGTGGTAATGTTGTCGTTGGCGATGATCTGAGTTATATATGATGGCGTTTGATGATAACGTTGGTGATGATGTTAATGATAACGTTGGTGATGATGTTGGTAGGTGATATTGTTAATTATAACGTTAATGATGTTGTTTTTTAATGATGATTAGTGTTATATATCTATCCTTGGATTAGTACATTTAATTATTTCCAAACAAAAGAACAAAAAACAAATGAGAAAACCAAAAAAATAATTGAGCAAACAAAAAACAAACAAACAAACAGAGCAAACAATCTGTCCACTAATTCTTTGATACAATAACAATCACATTTACGTAAGCATGATACAAAACCGACTTCAATTGTATCTCAACTTCTTGTGTTGTTCTCCTCAACAGCTCTTCAGCCCCACTTATCGTTTCTATCTCCTAGATTATAATTTATTGTAATTAGAATGAAAACTATTAGAGTGATAATAATAATAATGATAACCTTTAGCAGAGCCAATTCAACATCATCCTGAACCAAATCAATACCTTGTCTCTTCTGTCTGCAGTTCAAATTATCAAGTGCAATGTGGTGGGGTATCTAGAAACATCATTTAATCATTCATTTTCTCAAAAAGAACAGCAACAACTAAAAGATTATTATGATTCAATTCCTAATTAATAAAAGTAAAATTTCTAAAAACCCTCACCTCCAATGCTCTCAGTGCAGCTTCCACTCTATTCTTCTGGGAGAAGAGTAACTCGGTTTCTTCAGTCATATCCTTAATGATGCTGTGCAATTCCCTCTTCCACCCATCGATGTCTCGAACTCGATCGACCAGTCTCTTGGTGTTCATGGCCTGCATCTGGCTTGTTTTGTCTTTTGTTTCTTTTACGATTGCATTGATGTCAGTCTGTAATTGTCCTAACTCATTTCGGCCGGCAAATGATTGGTAGAATCTTATGTGTGCATGTGTGTGAAATTTAAGGAAATTTTTAAGAAATTTAGTGAAATCATACATATTTTTTGGACTTTTCAGACTAGGTTTAGACTTTTTTTTAGAGTTTGCTATGAAAATTATATGCAGCCTACTCAGTATAAGTATAGACTATGACTATTTATACTAGACTACAGACTATAGACATAGACTCTATTCGAATCTATAAATATAGATTATAGAACATTATTGTTTGTTTGTCACTAATTATTATATCTATCTATTCTCATTGATTATAGACTATCTAAATCTATTTATAAATAAAGTGAATAGACCAGAAACTGGATTTTCCAGAATCTTGTTATAATACAAAAATGCCCCCACCCCCACTAGCCATCCACCTGGCATAATTTCCTTCCTGCCATTCCATGGGATTGAACTTGGCACTTCTGTACCCAACCGTCGGCATGCCCATGTCGTTCCCCATGTTGCCACCGTTATTCTTTAAAATCGTTTTTATATTTGCCATTTCTATTATTTATTAATTAATCAAGTTATTTATTTGTAATTTTTCATTAAATTGTAGTAATTCACGGTAAAATAAGTATAAAAATGATCGGTACAGAAAGTTGTTTACATTTCGTTGCTATGGTTTTTATTGTTTAATCGTGTAGCACTACACTAGAGATTTTTTTACCATATTGCGTACATTGCACGTGAGAGACATGCAACCAAATCTGTAATCTGTTGTTTTATCTGTTAACAACCTTTGAAACAAAGTTTCTATAATTAAATAAACCTTTTTTTATTATTTAGTTTTAAAGTAATGAACATCAGATACAATGCACAATTAATATACGAAAAAGCAAATGATTGACGTCGAAATAATGACAATCATGTGTATTTTTGAAGACATTCTTCTCACTTATTACAGCAATAAATCTGATTTTTTCAGAATAAATAAGTAAAACTTGAAGCAATGCTTTTTCCCAGAGATTAATATTTTTAATGTGAAATATTCAAATAAAAGCTAATCCAAACCCGTGACGCCTTGCATATTATTTTTAGAAAATTTTTATTTCAACTAATCCATGATCTTTTTCTTCTTTTCTCAGATCTCCATACTCATTGGGTTTCTAAGAAAATGTAAATCTTTGAATTAAAAATCAAAATAACGAGAACAAACTGACAAACTACAGACGGTATGCGCATACTAAAGCACACAGCGACGACAACTACGAAGATGATCATAATAAAATATTCCATAATAAATTGATAATAAAATAATAAATAATACGAGGCAAACGTACGGAGCAAGACAGAGAAAAATAGATAAAAAAAATAAAAGAACAGACGAGCTAAGTGAACCAGATGAAAAAGAGATGATATGCAATGCCATGAATTGAAACGATGCAAGGGCTTGATTTCGTGAGTAAGTGAATGAGATGGATGCTGTCTGCATGCCTGCGTGTTGGTAACATTTTTCAAATCAGACAAAATTAAACACATCACTGAGATTATTCTCCATTTCACTTCCCTCCTATGTGTTTATTTATTCAGTTTTCATCGCCATTTTGCTACAGTTAATAAAAAAACAGCCCATAAAAACCTATATATATATATATATATATATATATATATATATATATATATATATAATAAAACCACAGATTTGTAGAAAGTCTATAAAAATCAGTTTCGGGAAAATGAATAAAAAGAAAAAGAAAACAAAGTAGTAAATGAATAAATTAATAATGTGCATTCAGCGTGTATAAATGCTCAATACAAAGCGCTATAAAATGATCAACATATGCTAACAATTCTAAGAAAGAAGTTCTTCTGATAATGTTCAGAATGGAAGGAGGCCATTAAAATTTAACGACGAACATTCCCGCCATTTCTATTTATCGCACGTACGCCACACGTGCACAAACACAGATGTTTATTGTTTGTTTGTACAGCTTTGTTTGCATACATACATACTTACAAACATACATACATACAAACATACATACATAATACGTCTATACATACATCTAAACATACGTACATCAATCTATCCATCCATACATTCATACATACATACAAACATACATACATACATACATACATACATACATACATACATACATCCATATATACATCCACAAATACATACATATATACACACAAGCATACATATAATTTGCACACACACACACACACACACACACACACACACACATTGTTGCTTATTTGTCAGCATATACATATATACACACAAACAGTCGTAGGATAATTCGCACATACGCTCGCACACAATGCGATATCAAGTTTGATACCCGGAATCCAGTGGTGGATCTAGAGTTGTAGGGGCCATTTTTTGGATACACTAGAACAAATTAGGTAATTTTCCTGGTTTCTCTTGTCATATTTCAAAAATTTACACAATTATAAAATGTTAGTTTCCCCGTCGAAGTTGTCTAGATTCGCTGTGTTTGTGTATGCGTGCGTGTGTGTATGTGTGTGCATGTGTATGTATGATTGTGTATGTTTGTGTTTATACAAGTGTTTATGTGTAGTTTCTTAAATTAAAAATCATAAACATGAAAAAAAATCTACAATACAAAGGAATGTTCAAAGTATTTCAATGCCATTGTTAAAAATACTAAATTATCCAACTGAAACAATATTAAACAGCACATTGAAACATCGTTAAAAATTAAAATAATGATGATTAATTATCATTATACAAAATGAAACAACACATAGAAACCATTTAGTGTATATATATATATATAGATACGTGCGTGTAAAATCTGCGTACGTTAAGTTTGAAGAAACGCATACCAAATAAATTTTGATCGGTTCAAGCTGCTTTTATATGTGGTTATATGCAATAATATGTAAAAAATGTTATTAATTAATATTCATTTAGAGATCAGGCAGTTTAACGTCATTATAATTTTTAATGTTTTAATTTTATTTTTTAATATTTTTTATTATATTTTGGTGATTAATTTCTATAATTATTTCTTGTTCTTTTCTTATTTGTTGTTCTATCATAACTTTAAATCATCTTATCATTTTGAATTATATTTCTTTAAATTAATTATCGATATTATCTTTCATCATATTTTTCTTCATCATTATCGTCGCTAACAATTTATTACCATCCCGTTACCACTATGCTGAAAAAAAGTTATCGTCATCATCATCATAACCACCATCATGAAAACCATCATCGTCATCATGACATCATCATCGTAGTCGTCGTCATCACCATCATAGTTTTCATCATTTACGGGTAATCGAATTTTCTCAGTAAAATCAATATTGGCAATCACTGCTTTTTAAAGTACATACATACATACATACATACATACATACATACAAACATACACACATACATACGTACATGCATGCATGCATACATACGTACATGCATGCATGCATACATACATACATACATACATACATACATACATACATACATACATACATACATACATACATACATACATACATACATACATACATACATACATACATACATACATTCATAAATACATGCATGCATGCATACATACACACACATATAGATTATAACAGCAATTATTATCGTTATTGTTGTTATTATTTTGGCATAATTATCGTTGTGTGTTACGTGCAAATGAATTAATTTAAAAATTTTGAAAAAAAACAAAACATACAAACAAATATACGAACAAATACCGAAACATAAATACATACCTACAAACAGGCACGACAAAACAAACACGCATACAAACAAACAATCATACAAACGTGAAAAACAAACATAAACAGAAAACAAAACATTAAAATTTTTTTATATAAAAAATAAACCCTTAAGAAATTCACAAAAATGCATGCATGTTTACAAAGAAGGTTATAACATAAATTAATGCAATTATTGCGATCCAAATATTGTAATATTGTAATTGAACGTAAAGTAATTTGTAATTTATTGTAATATTGTAATCTTCGGTAATAACGTCGTAATGTGTTGTGATTGTAACCAAAATTGTGATTGTAAAGTATACGTATGTAACATGTAGTTGTAACATTTTTATGATGCAATGTAATGAAATGTGATGTGATGTAGTTGTAACATTTTTATGATGTAATGTAATGAAATGTGATGTTGTAGTTAACCATTGTGATTAAGATGTGATTATATAGTGTAATGGTCATTGCAAGCACTAACCAGTAGTCTAGTTTAGTGAAACTGATGTTAATAATTTTAATAATGATGAAGAGGATGATGAAGATGATGAAGAGGGTGATGAAGAAGAAGAAGATGATGATGACGATGATGATGACGAGGATGATGATGAAGATGAAGATGACGAAGAAGATAAAAATGATAAAAAAAAGATGATGATGATGATGATGATGAAGAAGAAGATGAAGAAGATGATGATTCTTTACTTAATAGGTTCGACTAATTCAATTTACATGTGAGATAAAACATGGAGTGCATGCCATAGATATATTGTGTACTGTTGTATATGTAGTTGACGTCTCGATGTTGTTGTTGTTGTATGCGGTATTGTGTGTTGTTGTCGTTGTATTTTTGTTGCGTATTGTGGTATGTGGTATTGTGTGTTGTTGTTTTGTATTTTTTTTTGTATTTTTTTGATTGCACGAGAGTAACTTGTTAAAAACTAAATGCAAGAATTATTTTTATTTTTGAAATTTAATGTGCATGATAATATGTGTGTGTGTGTGTGTGTGTATGTATGTGTGTGTGAGAGAGAGAGAGAAAGAGAGAGAGAGAGTGTGTGTGTGTGTGTGTGTGTGTGTGTGTGTGTGTTTGTTAGCCACATGCAGCGGATTCACGCTGTTCGGTTCATTGTTCATACCAGCATTTTGTCCTGGCGGTTTCTTCTGTAAAAATAAGGTTATTTTTTTTTAAAGTTTAACTTTCCTGGTGTGATATTAATTTTTTTTCTATTTGAGTTAGTTTGATTTGTGTTGCAATTGTTGTGGAAATGACTTTGAATTTTTATAGGTTCGCTTATGCTTTGTAAGTTGCGTTGTCTGGGTGTGTTGTAAGACAACAACGCGTGCTCCCAACTATACACTCGTGTTATGTTCTTTCACATTATTAAGGACGAATAATTTTATTTATTTGTTGTTAGTTTTGTTGTCAAAAACGGAAAAACATTTTTAATTTTTTTTTACAAATTGTGGAAGAATATTCCGTGAATGAAGCTGATGATGACTGCAATGGAGATCCTATTTGTTTATTGTAATATTTTTGTACCGGTTCATTCATGGGAAAATGAAATAGATACTAATAAAAGATAAGATACTAAAGAGATATCAGATACTAATGAGGGATAAGATACTTATGAGATATCAGATACTAATGAGAGATAAGATACCAAAGAGATATCAGATACTAACGAGATATTAGATACTAAATATAAATGTCAAAAATAGATACTAAAAGGATGTTAGATATAGAGT